TCAATGTCATCCAACATGCGGGGACGGGGTCATAACTTGCACATCATGCACCTATACGCAAATATTTCTCAGTCGTGGCAAGATTCGAAGAGAAGATGACGGTTCCCTACGCTTTTCTCAGATATAGAAAAGAAGTGTGACTGAATGACTTCATATATGTATACAGTTTATTAGCTGATGTCATTGTAGACCTCGGTCAGTAACTAAGTTCAAGCCAGGGAATTCATACATATTGCAAATCCGCAATATTATTTATATAATTATATGAATAGAGCAATGTATAAGTGGAAATTTAGTTGATTTCCAACTATCAAAATCATTTGCATTTAATGATTGCTAGTTACTCAGGCTATAATACTGACATTGGATTACATATTTATTAATAATACTAATTAATTAATCAACGGAATAGTGTCATTGCATATACCGGTGTACTTTGATAATTTGTAGACTAGCCGGCAATAATACAATAGATCGACGAGAATAGTGGTATAGTATAGCTAAATACTAAATACCATAAACACGATCAACCTCGTACCCAGGAGACTACCTCCTCCGCAGGCCATTTTCCGGCCGCACATTTGCGGGCGGTGCAAATTTGCGAGCTGCACTTTTAGGCAGCGTTTACACTGTACCGTTTTCGTAGCGTTCTTGTATTGTTCGAGAGAACTAGACTATTGTCTTGCGTTCCCTTGAGGATTAAGAACAATACGAGAACGCTACGAAAACGGTACAGTGTAAACGCTGCCATATAAACGTAAAGCGAAATGCTCCCTAAGTGCCTGCAGAGGAGGTAGTCCAGGAGAATTACCTAACCAATTCAATTATTTTCAATCAATGTCAATGAACAATTTTGCCAACACTGCATCGGTATATAAAGACAAGTAGATTTTCAGTGCTCTTTATCATGAAATTAAACAGTTTGATTATACAAACACAATCTGGGCAAAACACTATACTGTTTCAAGTTATCATATATTTACTATATTTACTTCAGCTAGATATACTCGCTTTTTGTCCACCTATAATACCGACCCGGGAATGGAATTTACAGAGGCAAGCAATAATTTGATTTTCATCCATATCATAACAAATAATCTGCATACATGCATAAGTTGCTTTATGGGCCGGTTTAGGTCTCATTAGCATCTATTCACGACATAACCAATCAGATCACAGGCGGCCCAATCTCGCAAGGGTTAGGATAGTCTATAGACTTACAGTAATGTTTATTATAGTAAAGCGTGTCATAAAATATAAATTTTAAAATGAAATTGACTGGCCTATTTTATAGCGTGTGTTCTCCTTTTATTCCTCTTTTGTCGGACTAATATTTTCCGAGACTTTGCACTCGATGACCTAGTATACATATTACATGACTGAAGGCAAACTTGATTTACAAGGCGACTGCACGGCACTTCGAATCGAAAATTCTCGCACTCAAATCGCTTTATTCTTCAAAAATACGGAGATTCTTCGGCGAGATACACAAGTTTTGGACAATATTTTAACAATGGTAATCAAAACCCATTTTATATTGAACTTACAAAATAAAAAAATCCCGTTATTGGAGATGGAACTAATAATCTCTGTGTGGTAATTCCAGCCATCTAGCCTATTATTTTGTAATTAATTTTATGTAATATAGTGTATTGTCATCAATGGCAAAATCTGTGAAATAAAAATAAAATAATATAAAATAAAACAAAGACCTATGATTACTACTGCCAATGCCTGGGCAACCAGGCCTCTTAAAACCGTTGGGATTTACAGGGGGGGGGGGGAGGACGCCGCCTGCCCACATCATGCAAATACCAAAAAGCGGGAGGTACAATGGGAAACAACGTATACAGCTATTTCAATTAAGGTTGTCCACGAGTAAAGCAGAAAAGTCGAATACGAGCGCGAAAGGCTGCTGGGAATCGCTAAAAAATTAATGAATTTATTAGCGATCCCAGCATTCTTTCGCGCTCGTATTCGACTTTTTCGCTTTGCTCGGGGACAACCTTAATTTTTTTCAAATTATCCTTTTATATAATGATCATATTTCGAATAAATGTAACCCCCCCCCCCTGTAAATCCCAATGGTTTTAGGAGGCTTGGTTGCCCAGGCATTCGCGGTAGTAATCGTAGGTCTTTGTAAGTTCAATATAAAATGGGTTTTGGTTTCCATTGTTAAAATATGGTCCAAAATTTGTACATCTCGCCGAAGTATTTTCGAAGAACGGCATCTGTTCTACATGGTGGCAAATTTGTTTTGAGAATAACTAAGTGATTTGAGTGTGAGACGGGAAACTCGTCCACAGTGAGAGATTAGTGGACAACCAGCGGACAATATAAGAAAAGAATAAAAAAAATAAAAGAATAAAAATATAAAACTAACAAAAGTGAATATATGAAAAGTTATATCGTATAAAGTTCTTGCGCATTCAATCGGTTCGGTAGAGAGTCCTATGGCTATGTACCTAAATGTTTCTTTAGTTTAGTTTTAAAAGTTTTAATTTGCTGTATATTTCGGATTTCCACTGGCAGACTATTCCAGTCGTTGGCAGCATGTTTGAGAACATTTAAGTTTGAGAACGTTGGCAGCATAGTTGAGAACATTTAAGTCACATATTGACCCGATGCAAACATTTAAAGTAAAAAGTTAGATCGATCTAGTAAGTTCTCGGCTTCGAGATGCTAGAGTTAATAGCTTCAGTTCCTTAAATCTGTCCATGTATGACTTGTTTTTAATCATTTGCCTGGTAGCACGGCGTTGTACTGCTTCTATTAGGTCTTTCAGATATTCTTGGTGCGGAGACCATACTTCACATATGTATTCTAAATGTGGTCGGACCATATGAACGTATAATTCCTTAATTACATCTTTATTGGATGTTCCACGAACAGTTCGTTTAATCAGTCTTAAGATTTTGTTTGCCGTGTTTACCTTGCTGAAGATGTGATCTCTCCACATTCGTTTATGATGCATTATTACTCCTAGATCATTCTCCATTTCTGTCATAGGCACGTGACCATTCCCAAGATTATAAGTAAAACTGTTAAAATTACGTTTCCTGGTAATAGTAAGCAACTTATATTTGTCGCTATTAAATTCCATGTCCCATTTAATGCAACAATCCATCAAGACAAGCAAGTCGTCTTGTAGAGTATGTTGATCTGCTGCAGACTTAATATTTTTATAACATTTAGCATCATCCGCATAAAGTGGGAGCCGAGTATGTTCTGATAAATTCTGTGATATGTCGTTGATGTATATTATGAATAAAGTCGGTCCCAAAATTGAGCCTTGCGGTACTCCCGAAGAACTTCTTTCCAATCTGAACTTACGTCATCAATTATTATTCTGTGTCTTCTGCCTGTTAAGTAATCTTGAAACCAATTTACTAAGGGATTTCGTATACCGTACATCTCGAGTTTACAAATGAATTTTTCATGAGGTACTTTGTCAAAGGCTTTAGCCATATCTAGACATAATACATCAGTCCGACCTCCTTTATCGAGAGTCTCTGCCAAGGGCGTCAATCCATCCCAAAATTTTTAAATATTTTACTATATTTGAACTTTTGAAAACTATCTAGTCTTAAAATCTTAACTTAGTGTAACAAAATGTAAATAACTTCTACACTAATACTTTTTACGGGCGTAATAATAAAAATCAAAAACAAGCAAAACGAATTATTGTCTCATTCAGTGCAGCTTGCCAGTTAGAACAGGAAGTGAATACGACAACACAATATGTACAAAATTTGAATTCAATTTGAATTTTTTAGTATGTGAAACATATGCGATGTCAGTATTTGCTCCCAGCGGCTACAGAAAGGTCATACGTTGTACTTCATCTTATTAAATGTCTCCGTTCCAACCTTCTGGATGAATAGCATACCAGGGATTAGGTTTTTAGATTACCAAGAAACAAAATTTTATTAAACATGTTAAAAAGTGGGGGGGGGGAATGGGATAATTAGATATTCGTCCCCCACTCCAAAAACTGGGGGGGACGTGTTACCCCAATCACCCCCAGGATTGACGCCCATGGTCTCTGCTATTGAGTGCACAAAATATAATAATTGAGTTACACACGATCTTGATTTTCTAAAACCATGTTGATTATAGGAAAGAATACCTTCCACATGAGAATATAATCTTGTGTTTATACATTTTTCGGAAGTTTTAGAAAGGATAGAAAGCAGTGCAATCCCTCTGTAATTAGTAACAACACTTTTTGGATGAGATTTTGAAACTGGAGTGAAATTTGCATCTTTCATTTAGTAGGGAAAACTCCCTTTTATAATGACAAATTCATGATCTTTGTGAGTGGTTCACTGATTTCATTAGATAATTCCTTGAGGAAACGAGCAGTTAATTGATCAGGGCCAGGGCTTGAGATACTTCGAGGTCACACAAGGATTTTTTATATCATATCAGACACTTGTGCAGTGCCGTAGCAAGCTCGATAATTGGGGGAGGGGGCTCATATTCATATATTCGTGTTCACAGACCATAAAAACAATCGATTTCAAAAGAAATAAATAACGCAGAACACGACACTGTTGAATAAACTTCCGACACTGTTGTAATAAACTACGGCACTGTTGTAATAAACTTGCGACAATTGACCAAGGTCTTTCAGGAGAGGTTCATGTGTACCTGGAATTGCAGGTTCATTGCTTGACTTGTTGAACACTGAGTTAAAAAATTCATTGAACATGTTTGCTTTCTCGAGAGAATTTGTTGCTCTTTATGCATAAAATTTACTTATGTCAAGCTTTTCTGCACTTGTGGGTTCAGCTTAGTGCTAAGGCATTCAAATTCTAACAATATGTTATGTCAATAGTTTGGGAATAATATAGCCTTGCGAAGTCAGTTGCCGTTTTTCAGTCATTTTGTACTGCAAACGGGAAATTGACAGCCCAATCGGGTGTTGGGGCATCAATTTCCCGTTTGTAATACAAAATGGCTGAAAATTGCAAATTTCGCAAGGCTATATTATCCGCCTTTTACAACATTTCGCAACGAAACTTTGGAATATTACTAATTTTGCGATGCTCTTTCAAGCTGTGATGAAATTTTTGTCTAGATCAAAATTTAGTCTATAATGCAAATGGTCCATTGTTGTAAGATAAACAGTAATCTTGGCTGAATATGTAATTAGGTAAGCGTATAATGCTTGATGTAAAGCGCATTTGGCGGATCATATCCACATGTAAATTCGCGCTATAGAAATGCTAATCGTAATGGGCGTCGTAATCGTAAAACATGTCATTCAATAGCTAAAAGCCTGATTGTTTAATTGGCTGTTTATGGTCACGTGATGTTGGATAGAAAATTCCATTTCCCAAGAGTGCAATGGACTGAATACGTATAGGTTATTTTGAGGCAACGAGGGGATATGTGATTTATTCACCGAGGCGCGTAGCGCCGAGGTGAATAAACACATATCCCCGAGGTGCCTCAAAATAACGTACTTATTTTTCACACTGCGAGGTCGCGTTAATGAGTCAGAATAGAAATAATTCTTAATGCCATATTGCCTTCGTTATGTTGTTTTTTTCTCATTATTTTGTGCTGCAAAGACATTGCAGGTGAATATTAGAGGGGATTATTAATTGCAGGTGAATATTAGAGGGGATTATTAAACGGAAATTGATTAGAGGGGAATATTGAATATATTCCCCGCTAAGAACAAAGGGAACCGAGCAGGGTGAAAAATAAGTTCCATTACACTCTTTGCGAGTGCAATTGTACTATACGTTTTATTCCATTGCACTCTTTGTGTTTTCGATAAATCGCATCCGTCAAAATGTGTGTATTTATTTTAATATTAAATGGTCATTAATAAACTGTTCTTGAAAAAGAAATATTAGTCTATTTTGGTACTATATAAAACAAATAATAAATGTTTTTATTCGTGCAATGATAAGATTGAAAGAATATTTTCATTCGGTGAAAGATGGAACATTCCATCTTTCACCGAATGAAAATATTCTTACCATTGCTCTCATAAACATTCATTATTTGTATATTAGCATCTTAAACATTAGACCAGCTTTGAGCTTTTTGCGACGCAGAGAAAGATTGTCCCAGTACAGGGTATCAAGAAGTATACCCGCACTGCCACTGGCGTCATAATTTGCCCTCATAATGACGGCTGCTCGGTTCTGCAGTTTTTGTATCTTACAACTAAGCGTTTCACCAAGGCCATCCCAGAAATTTCAAAATGGTGTTGGATCAAAGCTTGGTAAACTTGAACAGCTGTCTAATTTGCTTTATTAGATATGCGTCTAATTTGCTTTAAGACACCAATTGCTGAAGCAATTTTCTTTGAAATTTTATCAATATGTGTTGTCCAAGTAAGGTGATTATCAACATGTATCCCAAGGGATTTAACTGATTCAGCTCTATTTATCTCATTTTCATGGATTTTAATGATAATTTTATCGTCTACAGCTCTTATCTTTTGGGCTTTGGCTGTATTTAGGTTTAGCCTATTTTCCATTAACCAATTATGAAGGCTTTCAAGACATTCTGGAGCTCATCCACTGAGTCGGCCGCATAGCTAACACTTGTATCGTCTGCAAACATTCTCGGCATTGCATAATTAGGAACAATAGCGAACCCAAATTGCTCCCTTGTGGAACCTCACAGCTCACCAGGTTTGAACTCGACAGATGGTCATTGACTCGACACTTCTGTGTTCGATCAGTGAGGTACGATTCTCACCACTTAAGACTATTTGGGGCCACCCGCAACCCATAATTTACTAATTTTTGTAACATAATTTTATGATCTATCGTATGATGATATCGAATGCCTTCTTTATCAATAAAGACGACTCCATTAACTAGACCATTGTCTACATTTACAGAGCAGCCATTAGTATAGCTTCTAGTAATGCTGTTAAGGTACTATGTAACGATCGGAAGCCAGATTGACAAGTGTTCAAAAGATTATAGCTGTTAAAATATTCATACAGTTGATCATAGACAATTTTTTCAAAGATTTTTGCCAACTTGAATTACAGATCGGTAATTAATCGGGTTATTCCTAGTGCCACTTTTATAGACAGGTGACACCCTACTCGCCTTCCATTCATGTGGAAACATCCCTGTGTAAATAGATGTAGTAAATATTGCGGTCAAGAAAGGAGCAACGGCTACATACATTAGCAGCTATTTTCAATAACTTATTTGATATCTTATCAAGACCGACAGATTTCTTTTCATCAATAGAGCGCAATAGATTGTAAACTGTATCTATGGTAGGTGCTTTCAAAGAAAACCTTTTACCAGTTGGTCTAGATCTAAGATAGACTTCTGGTTCATGTGATGCTAAGGCGAGGGAATTCATCAGCAAGATTTTTACCGACAGTAACAAAATAGTTATTAGATCAGCCATCTCGGCAGGTGAGGTGATCACTTGCTCCTCCACAATAACTTCCGATATTTTTTTAAAATTAACTTTACATGAGTTTCTTGAGCTCAGATCATTAATTAGTTTCCAGATCTTTTTCAAATTGCATCTATGTAACTCAAGATTTTCAGTAAAATAAGTGCGCTTGGCCTTTTTAATTGCATTGTTAGTTTGATTACGAGCTTGTCTATATTGATGCCAAACTTCGGGATCATTTGTTGTAAAGGTCTCACTTTATTGCTTTAAATTCACATAAATTCCCGATAAACTTAACGTCAACAATCCTGATCTAAAAACGTAGTTCCAACGTATGTACACCGTCCTCGCGGGCTCACTTCACCGAGTGGTACTAGACACTACATTTGTTGAAACAGCTTTCTTTTTTAAATAGTCTCTATTAAATATTTCATGTCCTAAGTCATTCGTGATCCAAGGGGATTTCCTGTTGCTAATCTGCCATTCCTAAATTTCCCACATTCTATTCCGGTCTTCGGAGCAGTAGACATTACCTAGTTCTTGCCTCAATGCGCCTTACGCTATCTCGTGCATAATGAGCTTTGCGTTCATGTCATGACGCCGGAGTTTACAAATTAGCAGGCGCACTAGTAATGCAGTAACACGAGTGGGTTCATTTATCATTTGTTCTAACCCATAAATGTCAAATATTTCCGCGAAGAATTTTGCTCTGTTTGGTGATGTAGCTGTCGACAGGAGGTCGATATTTAAATTAAATCACCCAACAGGAAGTATTCCAAATTTTCTGCGTCCATTGACCCAATCATTTGCTCAATTTCGGAAAAATAACTCCTTACTTTTTTTTATACACTGTGTAGAAATTATTTGGACCATTTGCATTATAGACTAAATTTCGATCTAGACAAAAATTTCATCACAGCTTGAAAGAGCATCATAAAATTAGTAATATTCCAAAATTTCGTTGCGAAATGTTGTAAAATGCGGATATATATAGCCTTGCGAAGTTTGCCGTTTTTCAGTCATTTTGTATTACGCACGGGAAATTGACAGTCCAATCGGGTGTTGGGGCATCAATT